CACTCACCCAGCCTGTTACATGGTGACGTTAATGAGGACGGTGGTAAGTGGGGTTTTTTTTTTTTTAAAGCAGAGACATGTATGACACAAATTGTCACTTTGACTCAAGTTATTACTACTATCAATTAAACTCACTCCTATACTTTCGTTATAATATTCCTGATTTTTTTTTACGTTTGAAAACGTTGAATCTGCAGCACAATACAGTAAATTTTGATTTGAAGCTTTCGTGACTGCTGGATTCATATTCTTGGTTCTTTCGGTAAAGTCACGTAGAAGGGAAACAATAAAATAATAAAAATATAAAACAATAAAATTCTCACGACGTTTCGACTGCAACACAAGCAATCATCATCAGGTGTGAAAACCACAGCAAGAAAATTTGAAAAAAATGGCGGATATTTTTAACGTTAGCACCACGGAGAGAGATTTGACAGTTTGTTCAGATGGACGAGTCCATCTATGTTCGGAAAAGAGGAGGGGGGAGACGAAAATAATGGATGCGGTCTGAAAGCTACCGTAAGCGTGAACAATCAATTCAGACCCGAAATGGTTTATCAAATCCTTCCAATGATTGTTAAGCCAGAATCCATCTTCTCGTTTGAAATTGTCTCTGTGTTTGTATATGTGGATAGCCTCATGAACGAATCTCTCATGGTAGCCAGAAGGCTTGAAAATAACCTCTGTCTTGGAGAAGTCAATGTCATGTGAGCCTACTGAATTATAACAGTGATCTGCCACGGCCGAGGTGTTGGTCCTACCGTGTTTTAAGCCTGCTTTTTGTTCACGAATGCGGTCCGAGATATGTCGTTTGGTTTCTCCAATGTAACTACTACCACAGAGGCAACTTAGTTTGTAGACGCCAGGGTAATGTATGTCCGGAAACACATCTTTTACAGACGGAACCAGATCACGGATTTTATGTAATCTGTTGAATTGGACCTGGATCTTGTGTTTATTCAAGATTTTGGAGATCTTTTTTGTGATCCCCGCAATGTGGGGTAAAGTGATGGTTTTGCAAGGCTCCTCAAGAGGGTCCTTCTTCATGGTTGGAGTGATAGCTTTGCGGATTGTGTAGTCGGAGTAACCATTAGCCTTAAGAGCTTGGTGTACGTGCTTGAGTTCACTGGCTATGTGTTCCTGGTCGGATATGCATTGGGCTCTATGGTGTAGAGTCTTGATGAGGGAATTCTTCTGGGATGGATGGTGGTGGGAATCCGGTTTCAGGTAAGCATCCGTATGGGTAGCTTTCCTGTAGACAGAGTGGCTCATTGAACCATCAGGTCTCTTTTTTATTAGGACATCCAAAAAAGGTAGCTTGCCATCTTTTTCGATCTCCATGGTAAATCTGATGGCTGGGTGTATGGAATTGATGTGGTCGAGGAATTGGTCTAGAGCAGCCCGGCCATGTGGCCAGATGACAAAAGTGTCATCCACGTACTTCTTCCATAAGATTGGGCGCAGAGTGGCAGTCTGGATGGCGTCAGTCTCAAATTTCTCCATGAAAATGTTGGCTACAACCGGAGATAGGGGGGAGCCCATTGGGGTGCCCTCAGTTTGTTTGTAGAAAGCTCCATTCCAAGTGAAGTATGTATTGGTTAACTCATTCACATTTACGGTATATATTTTTTCCGGTTTCATGAGCATCTCAACAACTGAATGGACTCATTATTTTTAAACTAATGTACTGTATGGCATACATCGATAATGCATAATTTATTGCCAATCATTTTATCAGATGGAGTGCTGCTGTGGTGTAATGGTCAACAGATCACGTGTCACACGTGGTGGGGTCAATTGTGGCAATTCCCACCTCTCTAAAATGTCTGGCTCGCATGGAATGATAGGCCACACTGCTCTCAAGAGGGGCACTCTGGAACGACATCTAGTGGAGGCCCTTTTGATAAAAGTGGTGTACACTTAAGGCTAATAGTTACTCCGACTACACAATCCGCAAAGCTATCACTCCAACCATGAAGAAGGACCCTCTTGAGGAGCCTTTCAAAACCATCACTTGACCGTACATTGCGGGGATCACAAAAAAGATCTCCAAAATCTTGAATAAACACAAGATCCAGGTCCGATTCAACACAGTACATAAAATCCGTGATCTGGTTTCGTCTGTAAAAGATGTGATTCCTGACATACAGTACCCTGGCGTCTACAAATTAAGTTGCCTCTGTGGTAGTAGTTACATTGGAGAAACCAAACGACATGTCTCGGACCGCATTCGTGAACACAAAGCAGACCTTAAACACGGTAGGACCAATACCTCGGCCATGGCAGATCACTGTTATAATTCAGTAGGCTCACATGACATTGACTTCTCCAAGACAGAGGTTCTCTGCAAGCCATCTGGTTACCATAAGAGATTCGTTCATGAGGCTATCCACATATACAAACACAGAGACAATTTCAACCGAGAAGATGGATTCTGGCTTAGCAATCATTGGAAGGATTTGATAAACCATTTCGGGTCTGAATTGATTGTTCACGCTTACAGTGGCTTTCAGACCGCATCCATTATTTTCGTCTCCCCCCTCCTCTTTTCCGAACATAAATGGACTCGTCCATCTGAACAAACTGTTAGATCACTCTCCATGGTGCTAACGTTAAAAATAACCGCCACTTTTTTCAAATTGTCCTGTGGTTTTCACACCTGATGATGATTGCTTGTGTTGCAGTCGAAACGTTGTGAGAATTTAATTGTTTTATATTTTTATTTTTTTATTATTATTGTATTGTTTCCCTTCTACGTGACTTTACCGAAAGAACCAAAAATATACAATACAGTAGTTGCAGTAACAATACAACTTATTATTTTATATATTTTATGTTAATTGTGTTGTATATTTGTTTGTAGAATCTGATTTCTAAACAAGAAACTTGACCTGTCAGTCAGTCACGGCACTAACTTGAGTTATGTTTATTGTGCAGAGGCAAACAATGGCAAATTCTTAAAGGAAGGTACAAGGGATGCATTGTATTGAGGATGACCTACGAATACCTTATACATCCTGATACAGGCCAGAATATAGGTCAAGATAGATTTTGTTATCATGCCACACCGCATTATGAGAGCATCCGAAGCTGGTACCGGCCAATCCTATGGATGATGTTAACTATTTTTCTAAATTAAAAGGGACATTGTCATCCTTTGGCCATATTTCCATATTTGAGCAAATCCCTTAAATTAGTAAATGTCAAATGTGATTCTAAAGTAATCAACTCCATATATTAGTTGACCTTTTATCTGTCTTTTAAAAATAAAATAACATACAAACTCGTTTTCCAAACATTCTAGATAAAAGTTTGGCTCAGAGATGAAGACAGATCACACATTACAAAAAGAGGCAACCAAGTGATTTAGATGCATTGAAACCAAACTTTTCACGAATGGCAATTGAAATGAAGTTCAAAATGTAATATAGAAAGCACTGGTAGATGCAGAGCAAGAATATTTTGTACCATCGTCGCTATGGGACTACATTAGGTAGCAATCAGAAGCTCGCGTGCACATCTTGTAAGCAGAGTCACAAATGAGCCATACGTGTGTGAAGATTAAACAATACAATAGGTGGCCAATTGAACTTTTCCCTATAAGAGGCTCTGAAGACTTGTGGTTATTTCAATCTTGTAAGCAGAGTCACAAATGAGCCATACGTGTGTGAAGATTAAACAATACAATAGGTGGCCAATTGAATTTTTCCCTATAAGAGGCTCTGAAGACTTGTGGTTATTTCAAACTCCAGTTTGTGAAATGGATTTGTACAACATTTTATAAAAACGAGAGCCAACATTAAAAAGGTCAAATGTACTTGTGTGCTCAAACCAGCGCTGGGGCAATGCTCATCTCACGCTATCATTGAGCCAGTGGCCAAATAAAGGTCCACATTACTATCAAATCAATGTATCTTTATGCATTAACTGATGAATTCCCAAAACTTAGTGCTCTATGTTATTGATTGCAGAGGGATGATGAAGGGTTGACTTAACCTCTGTCTGGGATTTAACTATGTAAATATACTGTCATCTGAATGTCACCACGGCACAGTATGCATTCGTATTCGATTTTAAAGAATGTAGCAGTAATTCATGCACATTTTGCTTTAATTTACCAAGTAAATTCACTGTATAACTAAGCACGCCGCATGAACTAAAATCAGCTATTAACGATCCAATGAAAGTCGGTTGCTCACAGCACAGGACATGCTACTTTATTTATAGATCGCATCTGAAATATCCAAGACAAATTAAATAAATATGACTCATCATGCTCCATGTATGTATTGAGTATAGCTTTTGAATAAAGAATGCGCTGCAGGTTTTGCGAAACGTGTTGTGACACAACGGCCAAAACATGGCAAGGGAATTTCAGCTTGTACCTCTCAATGTTTCACAGTGGGCACGTTTGAATATGTGGACATTAAGACCACCTTGCACGACACGAGCAGAATGCTTCAGCATGTCGTCTGTAGGTGGAGATAGTAGACCACGGATTATTATTATTATGCTCCTGGAAACGGCGTGGAGTGTATTCTCTTACAACCGTCAGGCGCATACATTCACAATTCCACGATAACGTAAATCTTATGTTATTCTGCAAACGCGTTGGACTTGACAAGTATAATATCGACAAATATAATATTCATGCCCAGAGAAAGGCTGGAAGACTTTCATTTCAGAGAATATAAATCACCACCACACGAAAATCATTTATAATGGAACTCACTACAATACATCCTGGGGAATCGTTATGATATATTCTGTAACATATTGTCTTTTAAATACATTAACGCGTACGGATGTTGTGGTTTAATTTTCCAAGTGGCGGTAAGCACTCACGAACTTGCACATTTTGTCGCTGACGTTTGTTTATTTTTCGTTCCCACCCTCCACACCAAAGTGTCTCTGTGCGTGCACAGAGCCACTGGGAGTCTGCATGCGTCTGCGCTCGGCGCGCGAGATGACAGCGCGAGTTGCCTTCTCTCTCCCACCCATCCACCCCGGCCAGATGGTAGCGTCCGCAAGCGCTCCTGCTGGATATTTTAGTCACGGGCGCTCCATCCCTCTCGCGGCTCAGCTCCGTGATTCAGGCGCTCTGGCTCCTACATTCCATCGGTGACATGCTGCCGACACGTCGCAGATGTGTTGCCGCGAAGAGCGGCTGCTCCGAGGGCATTAACAGTGCGGGACGCGGGAGCCACAGAAGCCCACCTCTTTCGCAAGTGGCACAGACGATGGCTCAAGTTAAATCCGCAAGTGTTTTTGTGCTCGTTTTGGGAATGCTCGTGAGCGCAAAAGGTGAGTTTGTGTGTGTGTGTGATTTTTTTTTCCCCTCCTGCTCCGTTCATTCTAAGCTCTGCACCTGTGTACACCGGCTGCTTTAGCAAGGAAACATGAAGCGAGTACAACATTACGCATAGCCGACCCAGCGGGTATCTGGTCAGATTTGGGAGTCGTATCTTAAAAGGAACGGATTGTAGTTCTTTCAATAATTGTACTTTTGAATTCACTTTATCGAAGAGAACGCCACTATAGATTTTCAACAACTAATCTCTGTACTGCTCCACGACGATAAATTGAAATTGATTACAGTCAGGGTTTTTTTTTTTAAACGTGTTTCTTTTCTGGCATCTCTTTTCTTTGCCGGGCACAACTACAAATCTGCATTATTCCAATGGGAGTGCTGCTTCTGTCAGTTTAAAAAAAAAGGCTAAAAGAAAGCAAAAGCTGTTTTTTTCTCTCTGTGCTGAAAAGTGTGATGTTGGCACCTTGCGACCAGGGGCTTGGCATCAACGTAAACTCTCCATAAGTAGCGTGCAAATGGCATCGCTTGTGGCTGCATTGGTAATGAGATGAAAAAGTGGAAGAAAAAACAACCCCAACTCGCTTGATGGAGACATAAAGCACAACTGCGGGGCTTCGTCTCTTAAATTGGTTGATTGGAGGCTGTTGTTGAAAATATTTCCAGGTTCTCTTGCATATGCCTAAATATTTCAACATACATATGAATGTGTTCTTGGAGGTACATACAAAAGTGCCTTACGTTTGCATGTATCTATGCGTTTACAGAACGAAACATTAAAAATATATAAATATACATGCAACGTATATGTAATATAAAAGTATAAGCATGATGTACGAGCAGCTATTAATCAGGCATGCGAGCGTGTATACGTTTTACTGTATGCAAATGTGTGTACATGTAACCATGTATAATTCCAACAAAAAAAGTGGATTGGCTGTATGCATTCTGAATGGAGGTCGCAACTATACTATACAAAGCCTGGCTGTAACCACTTTAAACAAACCGCCAGTTGATCACGAATATGTTAAACAACACAAAGCCTGCTAAAAATGCAGGTTTGGTTTGAGCTTAACAATAATTTCTGATTCAATCCCTCAAAGGAAAAAAACATCAAAGCATGCCGCAGTCGGATCCAGCAAGACCAGCGTGCTCCGTCACGTCAATCGGCACCTTGCAGCAATAATAAACAAAATGTGCTCATTTAGCAGGAAAGCTTTTGCCTTGTCTGTCTTAAAACGGGAAGCATAATTTGTCCTATTTAATTTAAAGCTCATGTGAAGTGCCATGCGATTCATCTGAAATAAAAGAACCCACGTATGAGTGTCGACTCTAGCTCGAGGCTTTTAATGCAAGTACGGCTCGTGGCACATGAGAACTGAATTGCGCGTGGTCTATTCATAATTCATAGATTCGTATGTTTTGTATCACACTTCATTTTTAGCCACCTAACGTCCTCTTCCACAAAAATGGTAATTTGCTAATTTACGACATTCCACCACAGCAGTGGTTTTGAAAATGCCCGCTCATGATAAAGGGCACATATTTATCTCCTGATATGCATGCCAATTGCTCATATAACTGTTATAAATGAACACATGAACCCTGTTATTAATTATGAAACAAGCTATGCCTAAAAATATTTCAGTCTATGTTCTGCTTTGCCCAAAAGCATTCAATGTACTATTTTTTTTTAATAATTTCAGTAGCTAGGTCGATTTTAAAACTAAAGATGCACATTCAATGTATCTGAAAACCTAAGGGACATACCAACTGTTATGGGAAATTCTACATAATTAGAGAAATACCTGTGGTGACATTTGTTTAAGCATTCAAGGAAAAACCATTCTTACAATAATAAGTTGATTTTAAAAACATGCACTCGACACAGATGTTGTATCTTTTTGGAGGGGAAAAAAACAGAAATCCTCATGAATTATTTCAGTAGCAGCTTCTCAGCTACATGGGAGCGCACTTCCAGGGCATTATTGGCGCTACTTTATGCAGACAAGCAACACGGAGAGAAGAAATGAGCATTTAGCCCATTGCAGCGCTGTTGTCTGGAATGTAATGGGTTAAATCAGGGTTTATATCTTCGTATTCCAGTGTGGGTTTTTTCTGCAGCTGTTTTTCTAACCATTGTGATGAAACTGAATTTATTAAAAAAAACTTATTTATTTTCAGTCAGCATTATGGTCAGTCCTACTATTATTGTGCAACCATTATTGTGTGTGAACAGGGGGGGGGGGGGCGGGTGGATGTTATTTGTGTACATTTCTTGCCTGTATGTCGCAATCGGCTGAAAGATGAGTGGAAATGGAAGGATTCCAGAAATATTGGTATACTGTGTCCCTGTCCTGAGGCAATCAATCTTGTTGTCCAGGACAATCATATTACCGGTCTGTACCATTTGACGAGCCTCAATTTGCTTAATAAACTATTTGGATGGGTATTTTTTTAAATGTAAGTATTCTATATAGAGCAAAAAATATATATACCAGCTCATCCCAGTGGATATGATTATGAACGTGGCTAACAAGCCCATGACTGATGATATGCAACCATGGGCTAATCCATCTAAACGAATTGTCTCCCTGCTATGTACCACAATATAAATTCCTGCAAAAGGCCACTGCCCATGACTTCTCACCTTGGCTATGCTTTTTTACCCTTGTTTTCACATGTGCACCCCAGAATCGTATCCTTTCAAATTAAACCTGCGGTTTTTTTGTTATTCTCACCTTGGCTCGTCAAAAGCAGACAGCAACACATTCCAAATTCAATCAATCAGGATGTGCCACACATATTCTGCCGCTGAATGATGTGCAAAATCCCACGTGTTAATGAATACAAGGTGTTTCGAGAATGCTATCAAAAAAGATGCGTATGAGTGTCAACCATATGGCAGCCCACAGAATACTGAAATTAGCATCTTGATTACTATTTTCAAGTAATATGAAACAAATTTTGAATAAATAAATAAATACACCTACATGTGTCTGGTCCTTGTCAATCCACGCCTGGATGAAGGTATTCCCATGTTATGTCAGTCGTGGGGTTGATTAATTATACTTCAACTCACTTGTCAGTGCAAGTTGGTTGAAGGGGATGACTAGGGCTGGATTAGACAATGGTATTTGCAGTTGCTGAGAATCAACCCCATATCGCTCGGTTCATAGCATAACATTCTCACCACTGTATTAATGCTCACCCCACACTATGCCTGAAAAAACAACACCACGCTGTAAAAAAATATTGAATTTCTTATGCACATAGGCAATCTAGTTATAAGAGGTGATTCTAATGCAAATTATTCGTGTAATTCTAATACTCATATGCATTGCGTTTTCCATGAAACCACCATTACAGCGTATTTATTTGCAAAAGGGCTGCAGTAAACTGTGAATCCTAATGATATTTCAGAAGATTAGCTTTCATGTTTGGTTCCTCTGCATATTTTTTCGAGACATTACTTTGTTAACATTAATTTATTATAGTTATGCACTCGATCGCTGTGTCAAATTGTTTATTTTACCAAATCATTGTAAGCGTGCCCAAACAATATGGATTATTTTGGCAATCATGGTCCATCTTGTGAAATGTAATCCGAACATCTCAAACGCATTAAAAGAAGAGCATCTTATCATTGTGCACATGAAACGATACCCATAGGTATCATATGAAACATATCTACTCGTGATATATTATAAGTTTGAAGTCTAATAATGCTTCTGCATTCCTAAAACAATTGTCACGATTTACTTTGATCAATATAAACCCCAATGAATTATGCATGCCTTATATTCTTGGTTCTTTCGGTAAAGTCACGTAGAAGGGGAAACAATAAAATAATAAAAACATAAAACAATAAAATTCTACGTGACTTTACCGAAAGAACCAAGAATATGAATCCCTGCAGTCACGAAAGCTTTAAATCAAAATATGCATGCCTTGTTTAATTTATTACAACTAATTCATGTTTAATTTATTACAACTAATTCATGTTTCATTTGGCAAGTTGGTTTCCTGGTAGACCATGCAACTCGCAATCATACGGTTCTGAGCTCAAATCCTGGTTGGTGGTTGGCACAGTTCATCATGCCTCTGTGATCCGTAAAATAGGCACCACTTTGTGGGGAAGTCATCAGTGATTGTCCTATGGATAGACTCACGCCTGCCATAGATACGTGGAATTTCCACCGCTAGCTTAGGGCTGTATAAAACAGGAGATTAGCACCACCTTAATGCTCATTTGAGCAGAAAATCACTTGGGATTTTTTTTTTACATTTCACAAGTTGTGTTTTAGAGTCGCAAAAATATGTTTTCAAGACTTGCTTTGCCAGGGGGATGGGTTAACGTTACAACTGAAGTTGCTATGTGAATGTGAATAATTTTTTGGCTGGTGGTTTTGGACATTCTCCTGCTATAAGCTTCTCTGCGCAGTGCCTGCAGCCTAGGACAGTCAACTTAACAGGCTCCCACCTGCTGCTTCGCGAACACAATATTGCACTGGCACGCTCACGCATGATTGTCGAAATGATATGGGCGCCCCCTGAAAGCCCGACCAACGCATGTATTGAAAATTTAACGGTGCATACGCGCACCGGCAGATGAACCGCTAATGGGGCACGCTCCGTGTTAACGCGACCTTTGTGTAATACACAATTGCACGCCGAGCTGCTCGTTGCGCCAGCGGTGCTCTCAGTCACGTGGACGCGTACATGAGAGGAAATTTAGTTTCAAGGGTCATTTTTTACATTTTAAGTGCGCGTAAACCTCGCACCAATATTTTGTAACCAAGTGGACAGTTGTTGGTGGCAAGGTCCTGTAATCTAGCGTATTTTAAGTATCAATGATCGCACCAGGGAACGTGTGAATGATGACAGAGACATGCTGGGCATTGGAGTGCATGTATGAGGCAATATAGCAAATCCATTGGTTAAGCTGTAAAGAGTGTGTTATATACCGTATGCATTTTGCTGATGAATGGGTTTA